ATATATATATATATATATATATATATATATATATATATATAGCGGGCGTCCGATCTGGTTCTCCACGACAGGGGTGACTTTATAATTCAGCAATTCCGGAGCGGTGTTAATGGTGCTTTATTGCCGGTCAGTCGAATCAGCAAGATATATACTCGTCGTGGACCAGCTTATCACCGCGGATAAATTCGTTATTAATTGCCTCGGTGGATCGTTTCGCGACAACGATTTCGGCCCTCACGGAACGCGAATCAACGCGCGCCCTCTGTCGTTCAAGTGGAATTAGAATTTTTAGTCGGACGGTCATCTGGCCGATTAGATCGGTGTTTCTCGTGACCATTCTCGGCGAGGGAATTATGCAACTTTCCGTGAGCCGATACGGATCTTTCCCTCGTCTCTGCTCGTTACGAACATCACCGTGACTATTAGGCATTTAACGGCCGTTGTTAATTCCCATTAATTATTCATCGGTTCAACGGCCAATCAACCGAACGACGACATTCCGTCCCGTGAAGTCTATTCTGTGAAGTAATACTGTCTTCAGTTCTCTACCTCTGTCGATTATTACAGACGGTTCGTTTGATATTTTCAACACGTTGCCACGATGATAATTCTGCAAGAATTGACACGTTGGTGATGGAACAACGAAACGTTGAATAGCGAGGGAAAGCAACCGAGTAATATTAACTCGATTCATCGACTAACAACTGTTGCACAATTTTAAACAAATTCTCTGAAATCTGAAATCGTACGAATTCTCGATTTCTGAGGTCGCACGACTTGTAAACAGAGAAACGTAATTCTCGGGTGTAAGAACTCGAACGTGAAATAGTGTGAAATTCCCCTTGGATTCCTGAAATCCAAGTACATACAACTTCTGAACAGGAAAGGCCATGAAAACTCGCGATCCTGTGCGAAAACTTACGAAACGATCTGTTACATTTTTAGCCGATTGGCTGCTTAACTGAAAAGATATTTCACTGGAAATGACACTTCCTCCTCTTGTATAGGAATATATTCGTTACACTGGAGGCTGGATTAGCCAATGAAAGGGAAATATATCGCGTGTTACATTCGTTTGCGGAAAGTTATGGTTAATTAGCTTTCTGGGCTGAGACTGCCTGTACGTATGTATACGCACGCGGAAGATATTTCCATTAACGAGACAACAACGAGGCAGGAGTGGCCAGGAGGAAAAGGCAAAGATCGAGATCGTTGCCGTTGAAAGTCGCTGAAGAATGGAGAAAGAAAAAAAAAAAAAAAAAAAAAAACCCGGGAGTTGAATTCGCTCGCCGGGAATTGGTCGCGGCACGCGATAAATGATCGATACTCGCGGCGAACGCGACAAATGAGAAACCGTTTGCTCTCTCTTAACGAGGAGAAAGGACCGCGGACTCGTTTTGATTAGCAGTAACTGTCATTAACGCGCGCGAGTTTTTAATTCAGCCAAGTTATTCTACGCTATGAGAAACGATGCGGCGAAAGAATGTCTTGTATAACGCGCGGGTTGTGTTTGCATCTTCGAAAGCGAAGAGATTTCTTTTATTGAAGAAAGTTCGAAACATTCGACTCACCGATGTAACGAGGACAGTTGATCAGTTGTCGTCAGATGTCGTTGAATGTCAATCTGGAATA